AGAGTTTCTTATGCTCCTAAGCTTGCTGCCACAAGGGGAGGGGGCTGTTCCTGCAGGCTTCCTGGCCCCCGGCCCAGCTGCTTCTCATTTGGAACCTGAGTCTCTCCCCTGAGCTCCATGCGTTGCCTTTGTATGCCTTGAATTTTCCACCGCAGCTCCGTGTGCTGCTGAAAGGCTGAGAAGTGATACAGGCAGCTTCTTGCCTTGTGATCTTCTGAAAGTTTCCAAGAAACCTGGCTTTTCACTACTTTCCTTCTTGTTTTCATTGTTACTCTGGGAACCAGATTATAAAACCTTTGGTATCCAATTTGTTTTGAGGTTCTTTGTTCAGGTTTGAACAGATCTTAGTTGCTGGATGGATGGCATGTGCTGTCGAGGGACAGCTGACTTACGGGGACACCACCAGGGTTTTCAAGGCAAGAGATAACAGACTGACTTGCTGCATAGCGACCCTGGAATTCTCTGGAGGTCTCCCATCCAAATACCGACCAGGGCCGACCCTGCTTAGCGTCCAAGGTCTGACGAGATCGAGCTGGCCAGGGCCATTGAGGTCAGGAGTTGCTTTGTTGTTGTTGTTGTTCAGTTGCACAGTCGAGTCCGACTCTTCGCGACCCCATGGACCAGATCACACCAGGCCTTCCTGTCTTCCGCCGTCCTCTGAGGTTTGCTCAATTTCATGTTCGTTGCATCTATGACACTGTCTAGCCATCTCATCCTTTGCCGTCCCCGTCTTCTTTGACCTTCAATCTTTCCCAGCATCAGGGTCTTCTCCAGTGAGTGCTCCCTTCTCGTTTGGTGGCCAAATGAGTTGGAGTTGCTAGGTATTCTTTTAATTCAGAAACATATTTAGGAGGCAGTCTGGTCAAATGGACTTTTTAAGTTCCTTGTTTCCCTCAGGGAAAGTGTTAAGGATGCACTTAATTCTGGCTAGATCATACTGCTGGGAATAAAGTAATCTCAGCGGAATGTGCGGAGAGACAGTGTGAGGCAGAGGTCCGAGTTTCAGACCAGTTCTGGGAAGACCCAGGCTCAGCCCCACCCACTCTGCCTCAAAGTTACATCTACTGTTCCTCGCAGGGTGGTTGTAAGAAGAAGACGTGAAGGAGAGCTGCATGTGCAGCATAAGCTCTTTCATGGAAGGGTGGCATAAAAATTGAATCGATGCATTTTTTGTGGCTGGAGGCGGATTTATTTGCCTTTGGTATAAAGGTGTAGGGCACTGGAAGAAAAAGGTTTTCCATGGGGAAACTGGATTTCCAGTGCAACTGAGAGTGAGCTAGGCTGGCCCTGCAGGCTAAAGGCATCTGGGACCACCGGCTCAGAGCTATCCTTTAAGGTGCCCCTGGACTTTGGCCTCATTCTGTGGTCATCATGACTGCGGACACAACGCTCCTTTACACTGTAGCCTCACAACTCTGAGAGACCATAAGGCTCCTTAGAATACGGTTGCCAACTCCAGGTTGGGAAATTCCTGGAGATTTGGGGCTGGTGCTTGGGGAGAACATAAGAAAAGTCCTGCGGGATCAGACCAGTGAGGGTCCATTTAGTCTAGTATCCTGTCTCACACAGTGGCCAACCAGTCCCTCTGGAGGGCCAACAACAGGGCAGAGAGGCTGAGGCCTTCCCCTGATGCTGCCTCCTGGCTCTGGGATTCGGAGGTTTAGTGCCTCTGAATTTGGAGGTTCCCCTCAGTCACCATGGCTAGTAGCCATTGATAGACTTATCCTCCATGAATCTATCTAGTCCCCTTTTCAAAGTGTTTATTCCTTTGACTGTCACTACACCCTCTGGCAGCGAGTTCTACTCTTGAGTTCTACTATTGGGGGGGGGGAGATGGAGGTTGTGGAGGGGAGGGAGTCCATCTGGGTATAAGGCCCATGGAATCTGCCCTCCAAATCTGCTGTATTCTCCAGGGGAACCAATCTGCAGAGTTTGGAAATAAACTGTAATTCCAGATATCCAGGTCCCACCTGGTGGTTGGTAACCCTACCTTATAAGGATAACAAGCAGCTGTGGTTTCTTTCCACCTTTGCGGTTGGGATCCTTCCTTACGAGGTTCAGAATGGAAGGAAGAATGCTGACCTGTATGGGTCACTTCAGGAAAAGGTGCTGATGTCCGGGGGGGGGCGGGGGGGGGAAGCTCTTTCTGCCCCAGAAGGGGTCAGACTCCTCCTGTGATTCTAAAGTTCCATAGTGTTTGATGCCTGTAGCATCTTTTTTCCCCCCAATAAGTGTTTTTTATTTTGAACAATATCTACAACAGTACATTCATAACATATATTGACGCTATGCAATAATCAACTTTCTCAACCCTTAAGAGCCCTTTGTAATAAGAGTTGTTTGGAATCACTTCTTCTTCTGCTAGATAGTTCACCACTGGGAACCAAGTTGCTTGAAAACTTTTTTGGTGAGAGACAATTTTACCATAGCATCTTGAAGTAGTTTCTCTACTAAATGGCCAGCCGTCAAATGCCAAATGGAACACTTAAATTGGCTCTTACAAGAAGCGTTGGTTTGTTATTTAAATGGAGTTCAGTTACTTGAAATTTATTTTATTCTATAATAGTGTTTGCAATATATTCCTCTCTGCCTGATAGGCATTGAGCGTGTGAAGTTACAAGATCCAGTAGAATTACAATTAAGATGCATTTGTGTGGGTGGAAGACACCAGCAAAGACAAATAAATAAGTTAGGGGGTGGTTTTCTTCTTCCTTCCCTCCAGTTATCTCGGGGTGACGTAAAGAATTGTAATCTACTGCTGCCATAAATGCTTAATTTTGAATAGCCCTGTGAGGGCCCCAAGAACTTCTCAATAAATAACTAAAATACATTAAGCGGGAGTTTCAGTTTTGACTTGGATTATGTTCTTGGGCCTGGAGCTTGTATATGAAAACTTGACCAGTCTAGGGATGAGTGTCAGACTAGGGTCCGGGAGACCCAGGTTCGAATCCCCACTGTGCCATGGAAGCTTGCTGGGTGACCTTGGGCCAGTCACTCCCTTTCAGCCTAACCTGCCTCACAGGGTTGTTGTGAGTATAAAATGGAGAAAGGGAGAGTGTTACAGGCCACTTTGGGTCCCCATTGGGGAGTGAGGCCCCCCAGCGTGCGTGTCACTAGCAAGTGACGTGGGCACGCTGGGCACACTGGGGACGGGGCCACGGCCATACAAGGGAAAACTCTATGGTTTTCCCTTGTATGGCCGTGGCCCTGCCCCCAGCGTGCCTACGTCACTTCCGGGTGACGTGCACGCTTTGCGCTCGCGCACTCACCCGACGCCGGCCGGGAGCCCCCCCGCTCCCGGCAAAGAATTATTTGGCGACCCTAGGCCAGGCATAAGCGAAGTAAATGGATGAATAAATAAAGAGTGACTGATGCTGAGCTAGGGGAGTCACTAGTTCTCTGCCAGCAGGGGACCATAATATTTCAGGATGCAGTCATTCCATCCTGTTGATCATTGGCACCACTGACTAAAGATTGCAGCTCCGCCTGTCCTTCCAGGCACTGTTGCAGTGTTCTGTCACCCCTTGACTGTTTGTTTACAGAAGTAGGCGGGACTCTCAGACAAGCTCAGGCTGTGCATAGTTGGAATTATCCATCTGGAATGTTTGTCTTTTAAAATAAGGTGCTTTTCTTGTGCGTACAGTCTAGTGACGATCTGTATCTGAATCAAAATTTGAAATGAAATGAAATGAATAATATAGGTATTTAAATAATGTTAGCAACATGTAAACAATGACTGCAAAAGAACACAAATATGCCACGTACAAGCCTGAACCATGTGTAAGCATTTGGTTTTTTTCTACGCTTCATATCCCACATTTAGGCCATCTAACATGATTGATTTGTAGCAACTACAGCCATGACAACTATAGATACATTTTAAAAATCCAAAATATAGCACTGAATTTTTTTTTAAAAAAATCATCTACTCCATGTCACTGACTCATTTGCTGTAACATCTCCAGGAAAGGGTCACTTTATCCACCCCAAAAATCAAACTCTCAGCAATTTTGGAATTGTTGAAAACCAGCTTATGGTACCCACTTTTGTAAATAGCATTTGATTAACCATATGTCCCTCATCACGCAGTGCATGAAGGAACATAACTTCAATAGTACTGGGCCATATTTTTCAATCGTAAAAACGCTTGATACACTTATATACAAATCACAGTTTAAAAACAAAACAAAATACCTCAAGAGAGCTGCAAGTATTGAAAACGCCAGGTGTCTCTTGGCATTATGACATCTACAAACCACGGAAAAGAAACAAGGAAAATAAAATGTTCCCTAAAGAATATTCTAGCCATGAAACTCTATAGTCAGGGGAAGAACCCCCTTGGCTCAGTGTCAACAAACTAGTTCATCTGTCCACACAGAAAATACAGGGAGCCTTAACACTTACTAGAGACAACAGCCACTTGCTAAACTTAACTCAGCATAGCAGAAAAATATTATATCATGTCTGCAGTTAGTGCCGATTACCTGATAGAAAACTCTTATCATCTATATTTTTATTGTTGAAGGCTTTCACGGCCGGAGTTCATTAGCTGTTGTAGATTTTCCGGGCTGTATGGCCGTGGTACCTGACGTTTCGCCAGCGGCTGTGACTGGCATCGTCAGAGGTATATCTAATAAGCAATATCATAGGACTAGGAAATGCAGAATTTGGAAATGGAGCTGTCGTCTGAACGAAGCATAAGTATTAATCATGACACGTCAAAACAATGTGGAATGTGGTTTCACATCAGTAGAAACATGGTGCAATTTCCTTGGACACTCAATTATGATGTAGCCCTATTTCCTTTATAAAAATTAAAATACTGCCCCTGATTGGGTTGTAACTCTTTTTAAAACCCAGAATTGTGCTTAATGACCCCTGGAACATTTTACCTCTGTTCTATACGAAATAGGATCTCTCTGTTTTTGATATTTTAGTTGTGTTTCATTCCCAATATGAATTCACCATCCCTCCTCCCTTCCCCCTCCCTTTCTTTGCAGGTTGCCCCTGAAGAATTCAAGACCAGTATCAGTCGTGTAAATGCGTGCTTAAAGAAGAATCTCCCCATCAGTGTCAAATGGCTTCTCTGTGGCTGTCTGTGCTGCTGCTGTACGCTGGGATGCAGCTTGTGGCCTGTTGTGTGTCTTAACAAAAGAGTAAGTAGGCAAATCGAGGCAGTGGTCTTATCGAGAGGGGCCTGCAGCTGACCAGGCGCCTTAATTTCTGAAGTGGTCAAGGAATGCAGCATTTCTCAAATTGGGTGTCACAATAAATAACAAGACTGAATGCTCTTATGAGTCCGTGGTACCCATCTAGAGAGGAGGCTTCACACTGCATTTCTGCATGACTTCCTAGGTTGCATCTAATCTGCTTTTCCACTGATGAAAAGGCGAGGAAGGGAACTGGGTGAGAGTGAAAAAGCTGACTGGATCGAATCCGGCCACTTAAGTTAGGGAAAGGCTACTTGAGGGGGCGACTGGATCTGTCCCTGTGTTTCCCAGATGTGCTCAGAGTCTCCTTCAAAACTGGACTGCAGTATAAGGGGAGAAGAGCTTATGTACACAGCCCAGGGCCATTTTCCCAATCTGAAACTATTCCAGGGAGCCACTGTTTGCCCCTTGGGAAAGCTTAATGTGTAGCCCATCAACAGCAAGTTCCACCAACAGGTCACATAATAGCTCAGGGAGTGTGTAAACCCTCTCTCCCTATATACCATGTTTCTGAACTGAGTCAAGAATAAAACCCATGTAATTTAACAGTGTTCCGTGCGCCTCAGCGTCTAGTCATGCTGGCCACATGACCATGGTAACGTCTTCGGACAGCGCTGGCTCTTCAGCTTTAAAACGGAGATGAGCACCGCATCCCTAGAGTTGGGTTTGACTAGCTTTCTAGCAAGGGGAAACCTTTACCTAAATTAACTAGATATAAGTTTACTGAGTATTCTTCATGGAACATAAACATTCTCAGAATATAACACATAAACACCCCCAAAACAGTCCCAATCATATACTTGCTGAATTCAAAATGTTCATCCAGTTACTTCAATAGTCACAGTTTCAAAATAGTGGGAAAATCCTCCATGGTTATGTCCACAAAGCAAAATGTGTACGAAGTAGCTTAATCATAGTCCAAATCCAAATAAAGTCAATCAGATAGTAGATGCTTAGATTCCTTTGAACTCCTTCCAGAACTACATCAAGTGTTGATATTCACACGATCCAACTAATGGGCAGGCTAGCTGAACATGCACCTTCCTCAAAGACTGCTCATCTATACTAAACCAAGCACACATAAACATACATAACACCACCAAACCACATACCAAAAAGTTCCCGGAATGAATATCAATTATAAAACTTACCACCATTACATATCAAACTTTATCAATCCTGAGAACTAACAGTGCCTAAAACAACTGTTGTTGTTGTTCAGTCGCACAGTCGAGTCCGACTCTTCGCGACCCCATGGATCATCTCCCGCCAGGCCCTCCTGTCTTCCGCCATCCTCTGAAGTTGGCTCAATTTCATGTTCGTTGCATCGATGACACTGTCTAACCATCTCATCCTTTGCCGTCCCCGTCTTCTTTGACCTTCAATCTTTCCCAGCATCAGGGTCTTCTCCAGTGAGTGCTCCCTTCTCATTTGCTGGCCAAAGTATTTGAGCTTCAGTTTCATTATCTGGCCTTCCAGGGAACAGTCAGGGTTGATTTCTTTGAGGATTGACTGATTTGATCTTCTTGCAGTCCAAGGGACTCTCAAGAGTCTCCTCCAGCACCATAGTTCAAAAGAATCTATTCTTCGGCGCTCGGCCTTCCTTATAGTCCAACTCTCACAGCCATACATGACTACTGGGAATACCATTGCTTGGACCATGCGTATTTTTGTTGGCAGGGTGATGTCTCTACTTTTTATCATGCTGTTTAGGTTCGCCATCGCTTTCCTCCCAAGGAGCAGGCGTCTTTTAATTTCATGGCTGCAGTCACAGTCTGCGGTGATCTGGGATCCCAGGAACGTGAAGTCTGTCACTACTTCCACGACTTCCCCTTCTATTTGCCAAGGAGTGATGGGGCCGGATGCCATGATCTTAGTTTTTTTGATGTTGAGCTTCAAGCCCACTTTTGCGCTCTCCTCCTTTACCCTAATCAAGAGGCTCTTTAGGTCCTCTTCACTTTCAGCCATTAGAGTGGTATCATCTGCATATCTGAGGTTGTTGATCTTTTCCCCAGCAATCTTAATTCCCGCTTGTGATTCATCCAGGCCAGCATTTCGCATGATGTACTCTGCATATATATTAAATAAGCAAGGTGACAGTATACATCCTTGTCGTACTCCTTTTCCTATGCTGAACCAATCAGTTGTTCCGTATCCGGTTCTAACTGTCGCTTCTTGGCCCTTATACAGGTTTCTCAAGAGACATGTGAGGTGGTCTGGTACTCCCATCTCTTTAAGGACCTGCCATAGTTTGTTGTGATCCACACAGTCAAAGGCTTTAGCATAGTCAATGAAGCAGAAGTAGATGTTTTTCTGGTACTCTCTTGCTTTCTCCATAATCCAACGAATGTTGGCAATTTGATCTCTCGTTCCTCTACCTCTTCGAAACCCAGCTTGTACTTCTGGCAGTTCTCTATCCATGTACTGTTGAAGCCTAGCTTGTAGGATCTTGAGCATGACCTTGCTAGTGTGTGATATGAGTGCAATTGTGCGATAGTTTGAACATTCCTTGGCATTGCCCTTCTTTGGGATTGGAATGTATACTGACCTTTTCCAATCCTGTGGCCACTGTTGTGTTTTCCAAATTTGCTGGCAAATGGAGTGCAGCACTTTAACAGCATCATCTTCTAAGACTTTGAATAGTTCAGCTGGAATACCATCACCTCCACTAGCTTTGTTGTTACTAATGCTTTCTAAGGCCCATTTAACTTCACATTCCAGGATGTCTGGCTCGAGGTCTTATGCAACTGAGAAACATTCAATCCACACAGGACCTCAGCCCCTATTAAATCACTCCATTAGTTATCTCCAGCTGTGTGGCTCAGTGCTCAAACTGTACTAATTAAAGAGACCGAACAGTACTGATACAGTTAGAAGCCTTAAAATCGTAAAACAATATAAATACATTTTAAAATAATCCAACATGCCATCAACATTTCTTGTTGATCTATTCTTAAAAAACAAGACAACTCCATGCTTGAATTCTGGAGGATTTTTCTGCTATTTTTCCACTATTTTGAAACTGACTATTGAATGAACACTTTGGGTTCAGCAAGTATATGACTGGGACTGTTTTGGGGTGTTTATGTGTTACATTATGCAAATGTTTATTTATGTTCCATGGAGAATACTAGTTATATTGCACAGGTTTTATTCTTGGTTTGCTATATTAATTTCCCTGTTTCTCTCTTGTTTCTTCCTGATCTGAATCAGGCCCACACGCTTCTATGAAGCATGGAACTCCTAGACCACGTATGTGGCCTGCGGACTGACCCAGGAAAGGTGTACTGTGTAAACTGCCCCTGAGTTTAGCAAACTGCAGTGCAGAGGCTCATGAGAATTGCCTACCCTTGTAGAATATTGTCTGTTGCATCTCTGCGTCAGTCTCTGCTGTCCATTGTATCTCTGCATGATTTTCTGCTCTGAGTCAGTTCTCTTCCCATGAAGAGGTATACTCGGGTCATTTCGTAGAAAAGGAGGTGCAGGAGCTCATTAGCATAACTCATTAGCATAACTTATTTGCATATGCCACACCCCCTGACATCACCGGAAGTGTGTCAGAAGGCAACACCCACCGCTCAGGCTCCACTGGACTCTTTTGGATTGCTAGCTATTGGCCGGGGGGAGGGGAACATGAAGATCTGTCCTCGCAGAGGAGGGAGAGCTTGTACCTGAATAAAACTTGGTCTTAAAGGTGCCACTGGACTGTTTTGGACCAACGGGCTGGGTGCGCGCTCTGCAACTTACCTGGCTGCTTCTTGCTGTGAATGAGGGCTGCTGGGAGCAGGGGGTGGGGCTTGTTGCATGTGCCCACCCCGTGGGCTCTTTACTGCCAGAGCTCTGCTCCTGTGCGCTCCTGTAGGAAATGACCCCTGGGTATACTCAAAATAATGACTTCTGTAAGAATGCATTGGAGGAGGCAGGAAATGCTCAGTCAGTCAAGCAATCCTTTCTCTTGCACAGTCTAACAATAAACCTCTTTGGAAGGCAACTCCAACTTTTAAATCAGAAAATAAATGTCGGTTTGACGCTTTCAGAACACCTAGCTGGTGTGTTACAAAGCTGTGTTAATGCCGACCTCATGCTTTTTATCACTGCCTTGACATTTATCCCATGGCAAGAGGGAGTTGTGGTCTGGGCAGCTGATGCTTGGCTGGGCCTTCTTTTATGGGCCCTCAAATACAGATTGTCCGTGCCCCCCCCCCCAGTTGCAGCTCTGACGCAGGGAGGAGGATGCAACTCAGCCGCTCCTTTAACTCCCTCTGTGCCAGCAGGGCTCGAAGGAACATGCCAGTGTGGAAGCCCCACTTCACCCCTTGTAGCTTCCCTGCAGGAGGTGAGAGATGACCCCTGTGGCCTTGGGGTCTCCCCTTTTCCAAGGAGGGGATGCCCCTGGAGGGAGCCAGCAGAGTGACGGGAGTCTGGGTGTCCTTTTAGCCCAGTTGTATTGCCAGGGCTAAAGAAGAAGAGGAGGAGATTGGATTTATACCCCATGGCCCTTCACTACCCGAAGGAGTCTCAGAGCGGCTTGCAACCTCCTTTCCCTTCCCCGCCTCACAACAGACACCCTGTGAGGTAGGTGGGGCTGAGAGAGTTCTGACAGAAACTGCTCTTTTTTTTCAAGAACAGCTCTTATCAGAACTACGGCTTGCCCAAGGTCATCCAGCCAGGTGCAAGTGGAGGAGTGGGGAATCAAACCCGGTCTTAACCACTACACCAAACTGGCAAAACAACAACAATAATAACAACAAAATCTACCCAAAGTGTCAGGATTCCATTCCTAAATTGGGGGAGGCAGCTGCACGTGCCTCTTGTTCTCTGGCCCTGTGTTTCGTGTGTCATACTTTCCCTGGAGCGGAGCAGTGTTGCTTCGTGCAGAACCTGATGGTCTTCGTCTGAGTCACGAACCAGTTCCCTGGGTCCTGTTTGAAACAGGGAACTGAACCACAGTCTGATATGATTCTGACTTCCTTTTCTAGACGAGAAGATCAATTCAGAAGTTGTTAGAATGGGAAAATAACAGATTATATCATAAGGTAAGCAAAGGAGAGGCTTTGCTGACTCTCTTCTATCTGCAGATCGCATGCTGTTATTTTAAATTCTTGGGACGTGGTTTGCTTGAGGATGCCTGGCTGGGCCGTCGTTTCAGAGGGCGGCCGTCTTGGCCAGCTGTAGAAGAGCTGGATTCAAGTCCACTTAATGTGATGTGGGAAGTTCAGATCAGCCAAGTGTAACAGGTATAACCGGTGTTCCCTCTAAGCTGAGTTAGTGTGAGCTAGCCTCTGGCTCACACATTTTTGCCTTAGCTCAGGAAGGAGGGCTCCAGAGCAAACTAATTGATGCAGGAGCCAAATCACTCACTCACAACTTTAATGCCGGGAGCTCACAAAATAGAATTTTTGTTCACAGGACTCCACAGCTTAGAGGGAGCATTGGGTGGAACTAGATTTATTGCTGACGTACTTCATAAGGCCTCAGCCACCTCACACAGCCGTTCCCTGGCTCACCTCAGTCCTACTCCCCAGCAATGACTAAACTAAGCCACTAGGAGGCAACACTAAATGTATAAATTGCATCTTCAAGACGGACAAGATTTTCAGGGAGTACCCTTGCTGATGAAGGGAGCTCTGACCCTCAAAAGCTTATACCCCCAAAATCCTGTGGGGGTCTCTAAGGTGCTGCTGGACTCTGATGTACCTGATTGGTGGGAACAGAAACTAAGGGCACAGCAATACATATAACATCAATACAAAGTGAAATGCTGCATAAGTTCACACAAGGAAATTAATGCTGAAATCCAATTTCCATGTTGTTTATAATTCTTGTATTTCAACAGGTGGGCATCATCCAGACACCAGAGTGTCGACAAGATGTACAGAACGGGACGAACTTCTCGAGTTTTGCCGTTCGTTTCGAGAACAATCTTTATCAAACTTCAATTTCCAGTGGTCCTTTCACAGTCTAATACTGTCCATAGCGAAATAATAATGGTTGGAAGCCTTCCTGAATGTTTGGATACCTTAGTGGTGAATTAGACTGTGAAAGGACCACTGGAAATTGAAGTTTGATAAAGATTGTTCTCGAAACGAACGGCAAAACTCGAGAAGTTCGTCCCGTTCTGTACATCTTGTCGACACTCTGGTGTCTGGATGATGTCCACCTGTTGAAATACAAGAATGATAAACAACATGGAAATTGGATTTCAGCATTGATGCTACCTGATTGGTGGACCAGACATTCTTCTGTGCGGCCTGCAAACTCCCATTAAGATTCCCAGAATCACATCTTGTATTGCATGCCAGAAAAAAAGAGCTTAACTCTCCCGGCTGTGGAAAGCAGTCTAACAACAGAGGAGTCCACAGGGTGTAGTTGCTAGAAAATACCTATTGATTCTCCCATTGTGGAGGAGGGGGGCATATTACTTGGCTAATGGAATGAAATCCTGGCATTTGAGTATTTCAAGCTGACCGTGCCAGGGATCCTGCTCATCCGAGCTTGCCAAAAACACACAGCTGGTTGGAAGGGAATTGGCCCTGCTGGTAAAAATCATGTGCAGATAAACTATGCCGATTAGCTGTAGGCTGCCAGTTTGTGAGAAGTCTCCCACGTGACCCTGAATGCCTTCAATACCACCTGCTCCTGCAGTAGGGAAAGTAGTGTGTACCAAAAGGAAAAGGGTGGCAGGCTAGAGGCGGGAACACGACAGTCATTTCTAGTTCACAATCAAAGAGAGACGTATCAGCACGTCCTCTGTTACATGGTGCTAAGCTGGCTGTTGAAGGAAGAGCTTTAACGAACACAGCCAGAGCTTTGCAGCAGTTTCACCATCCTGAAGGACAATCTGTGTCCCTAGACGAGTGTCATAAACAGATCCCTGGAACAGTCATAGAAACAAATGGTCAGAGGAAGGGTTTGCTGCCAATATCAATTAATGTCAAATGTTGTCAATTATTTCCCAGCTCGGTTTGCACTGGAAGCTGAGTAAAAGGAAATGTGAAACTAGCAATATGATGGAGTATGTAAGTATTTTCCATTTTTTAGTCTTTGGCTACAAAAAAACCCCTGTTTTTTCCACTGGACTGATTGGTCATTTCATGGTATTGATTAGTGAAGAGTGGCTCAAAGGCTGCAGTCTTCTTCACACTTCTTGAGAGTCAGTCCCATGAAATTAGCAGGACTAACGTTTGAGTAAACCTAGAGAAGCCATCCAGAGAAATCCAGTGGGCAAATTTCTTATCTCAGAGGAGTTTGACATGAGCACAGTGGTCTGTATGCAGCTAATGGTGCAAATGGCTCTTCCTCTTAAGCTGACTATTTGTCCTGTCTCGGTTATTGTACTGTAGGTATCATGCGTTTGCTGAAAATGCTCTTTAAATAAAGGACCATTTGACGTTTGAGAACCTTAAGAGCCATAGAACCAAATGCTCTGCTGCAACTTGTCTTCATCCTTTGTATAGAAACCTGAAGTGGCCTCCTAGCTGTTGGGTGGGTGGTCACCCATTTTACCCAGGGGCAGTATAAATGCCTCCCTCAGTTGAACGGAACTGACTCCCACTTCTTCCTGCCTTTTTCTGTGGGGCTGTCTGCCCTGGTTTACTCGACTCTGGAAAGTAAATGCGATCATCATGAGGCCAGAGAGACAGCTGGGCAGCCCACCAGGGCTTTTAGAATTGCAAAGATCTCAGCTGTTGCTTTTAGGTTTTGAATCAGTAGCCCTTGTGTTTGCAGAGAGCTAGTTCAACTCACGGTGACTGTCAACACACCTTCCTTCACCACCGTCGTAGCTTTTTATTGTTATCTGATTGATTTCTTATTACTCTATCATTGATTTTCTAACAAAAACAATTCCCTCTTGGAATTCTTGGTTGAGGAGCCAGGGTCATTCCATTATATACTTTTAGCTGTGCTGGTGGGCTTCAGTGCTCGAATGGCTTCCTGTCCCTCTCGGGTTGTCCCCTTAAGAGATGAAAACTGTCTTTGAGGATTCAGGGGAAGAGACCCTGCATGATGTGGAGTGGAGAAAAAGATCTAAAGGCTTTCTCAGGCATATTTCATCCCGGCATAAAATCCAAAAGCATGCCCAGTGTTCTAAGCGCAAAAGAGACGACTGTGCCGGTTAATGTATCGTTTTGTTTTGTTCCCTCTTCTGCAGGTAATACTAATAGAATTCTTACCAAAATATCCCATATTTCGGCCCGACTGAGGAGCAGCGTTACTTTCCGTGTTACCTGTCATTTCCTACCTGTAGTGCCTTGTAGGGGATGTTGGAGAGAAGATGGTCTACTTTGCCGTGATATTTTTTTTAAGTGTGTACTTAGGTAGAATATCTTCTTTGCTCTGTTACTTTCTTTTGTTTTAAGAAGAAAACAATTTGCACATTTTTTTATGTTCAATAATGAGGCTTGTATGCGCACTCCGGTTTGGAGGGGTTTTTTATACCTGTAATGATAAAAATTGCCACTAAGAATATAGTCTCAGTGCTGCTTGAAGGCTGGCTCTGAGCATGCTGCCTTATTAGTTTCCACGCTCCCAGTCAGTTTTCCACCCTGGCTCAGCAGCACCACGTTGTGCATCAGATCCAGGCGCCACACTCTCCCTTCAGATGCTTCAGCAGAAACGGTCAAGGTTAGCTTACAACAATCGGTAAAACTTGTATGATAATCTGCTTGCATAAGGCTTGTGAGGGAACTGCACTGGTCATCTCCTGCACTTGCAAGACCACTCAGTTTTTCATTGGGGGTGGGGCGGGGCGGTGGGGGGGTGTCGGTTGCTTTACACACAGCAGATTTGTAAATAATTGCTTCATTGCATAATGTAAAGTGTGGTGTGATGCCAAGGTTTACAAAATGTAATATAGCTCCTATCGTTTTGCCAACTGTTACGCATAGTTTTATGATGAATGACGTCTGTAAGCCTCTTTCCAATTGTAGAGGCCCATTCATGTGCCATTTTCTTGTGGCGACGCCATGGACTTCACTTACTGAATGTCAGGCTCAGGTGCACTTTGGTAGGAAATGAATGGGGGGAAATGCGTCCCATGTTTCTGTGGCTGGAGGCGTGACCATAGCATCTGGAAGCCTAACTTTAAAGAGAGATATGTATGTATGTATGTATGTATGTATGTATGTATGTGGAATCCAAAGAACCATAAACCGAAGCGGGAAGGGGGAGGCTTGTGTTTCTCACCAAACTGTTTTTGCAACTGTGAGGACTTTCAAAAGCGGTTTGAGATCTGGCCCAGGGGGTGGGGGTTGGGGGTCTGTTCTCTAAGGAGGGGGGGATTAAAATCCCAGTGGGCAGGCTTTGGCGCCTTGTCGCAGACTAACGGGTGTGGGTTTGTTTGTTTTTACTTTAAAGGCAAGCAAACTTAACTCATTTGCCCGAACGGTTACAATTTAATGGGAATCGTTGAGGCCTTTCCCCACGATTGATCATGTTCCTTAAAAAGGCAAAGGGTATTCCACCAAAACCTGAGCAGAGTATACTACTGAAAGGGCATGGCAGATTTCGGAAGTGACCAGACGATTCATTCAGAGTCCGGTGGGAGCACCTGTAAGAGCAACAAAGGCTTATTCAAGGTATGAGCTTTCGTGTGCGAGCACACGAAAACTCATTCCTTGAATAAGCCTTTGTTGCTCTTACAGGTGCCCCCACCGGACTCTAGATTTGTTCTGCTGCTTCAGGCCAACACGGCTGCCCACCTGGATCTACGTTTCCAGTGTTGTCCTGTCCCCAGCCGCTCTGGCCTAAGCAGTGTCCTTGAAGGCACACTGAATTGATCCTTCTTCCTCTGCCTGGTCTTAATTGTAGGATTGATTTTGGGAAACTGCTTGAAGAGGATGAGGACTGCAGTGGTCTCAGTAATGCTGAGCAACCCAGGGCACTTCCGTCCAAAGGGTCTCTAGCTGGGATTGCGGGGGGTGGTGGTGGCGGTGGATACATAACTGGGCAGGCCCAAGCTCCTCAGTAGTCTCAATTGCCTCCGTATTGGAGGCGAGGAGAGCCAGCGGCCTTTGCCATCTTGGCCAGCAGAGGGTGCACCAAAGCTCCACTGCACCTGGGCACCAGCATCCCAGCTCACACTGAGAGCATCTCTTGCGTGTGCAGTGTCTTTGAGGGATGTCGATGGACCAGGGCGCTGTGGCTCACTAGGAGCTCTGGGCGGGCATCGGGGTGCCTGTGGAATCTTTGATCTCGTGGACATCACTGGAGGGGTCTTTAGCACAGCTGTGAGAAATCCTGTAATTTCAACAGAAGCCCCCCCCCCCCCCCATTATTGGCATAAAACACACAAGCTCCCTGCCACAGGAGCAAATTCCTGACAGCAAAACTGTCCAGTTGGTTTGTTTTTTAAAAAATGGAATGTGAAGTATTCAAGCTGTGTTCCGACGTTTGTAAAGTCCGAGTCGCCGTGTGCCGCTCACTGTTGAGGCTTTTTTTTATGTAACGCAGCCGTCTGAGTGGTGCTCGGTGCTCTGTTCCCAGTATTATACAGAGGAAGGCTAGAAAGCAGAGCAGGTTCTACCGAAGCCAAATATTCGGTGCAAAATAGAACAGAATGGGTTTCCCCCCCCCCTAATCATCATCAATGGTGTTGAGTTATCCGTTGCCAACAAGGATTAAGTACAGTTTCTTAGCTTCTGGATGTCTTGATGCTCCCGCTCGTTGAACCATCTCTTCCTAACAGGACAGAGAAGCCACTCAATTCTCAGCCTCCCCCCCCCAGTGCCTCTCTTGCATAGTCATCGGTGAGAAGGACAAGCGTACGTTTGGTATTCCTTGCAATCTGTCCGTTTGCATTTTTAACTGTAATTTGCAGCGTTGAGAAGGTGTTGTTCATTGGGTACAGTAGGATTTTCTGAACTGGGTTTCAAATAAATTTACCACCACGTAGCCAGGCTAAACACGGGCCAGCTCTCCTCATTCAGGCAGGATGTCTTAATAGAAGGTTGCACCTTCAGGAACCAAACTGATGGCAAAGCTCAGTCCTCATCATGTCATATTGAAGCGAATTCCATAGGCATTTCCATAAGGGTTTTTTGTCTGTCTGTTTAAGAATAAGGGCACAGATCTTGCTATTGACCAAGTTTAAAGCATGAATAAGTCTTGTGACTTGTGTAGAAAGTCCATGGATATAAAAAATGTTTCTCACCACAGGGGCCATAGTGACAACCTATCCAATTGCGCAAGAGCCAAATTCTTCAAGACATTTCAAATGAAGTAAACACGGTCCAATGTTGCTACACACAAAAGCATGCAGTGTTTTGTTGCTGACCCAATGAGGATGGGTATCGCACTTCACAAACGTTCCCCAGTCCATTTTGTGTCTTGGCTAGTGTGCAAGGGGCCAGTAAGTAAAACGTAGGGCCTCTTCATGCAGTATGATCCCCCCAACCCCTGTGATTCATCGGCAACGGAAAGCCATGTAGATCCTTTGCTTTCCTGTACATTGCAAGAGGTGTAGGGCACGGATACAGTGCATACCTCTGCTACTCTTGAGGTCTATCCAGCTACACAGAATGTAGTTAAGGTCCAGAAGACTCATTTGAGTGGTTTCCTGTCCCTTAATATCTCAGAGTCTGTTTTCCAGAACAGAGCAGCTTGCCAGCTGGCAAGACATAAACGATCCTCACTGTCCCAAGCAGAGGCACCCACATTGTCTGGAGGTGTGTCTCCTCCCCTGCCGAGGATTGCAGCATTTGGACCATTTCATTCTCACTCCCTCTAGGAAGGTGCAAGGGGATTCTGGAACTCACCTCGGGGATGTCTCCCCGCTCTGTTGACACCCTTTGCTTCTGCAGGGGGGGGCTCCCGGCCCCCCCCCCCCGGTGACAAGTATTTTGTATTCTTTTTTCCATAGCCTCCCTTTGTAGAGTAGATCTATAGAAACATGGCCGGTTAGCGGAAGAAGTGCCTTGTGTTGTTCTGGCAAAACAAAACAAAAATAACGTCGGGCGCTGAATACCAAGTGCCGTGCGCTCTTCAGCAGAGCAAGAAACCCAAACCATTTTCTTCTGCTGATTCCGTACAAGGCTTTGAGCATTTTTAGGCTGCAGGTGGGGGTGTTTTATGAATGATGCTCAACACTTAAAACAATGCCTTGCATGTGGTAATATGTATATGGGTGGGCATATTCTTCCTGTTATGCTATTTTACTTTATGCAAGATTTTCAACAAACACATGGCGTAGACAAATGGCAATCCCCCGTCCCCCCCGCCGCTGCCATTTGAAGTGGTACAGTCCCAAAGTGTGCCATCTAGTTCTCTGCGATGTGTTTGGTGGTTTGGTTTTCGATTCAGTCTTGCAGAGGTGGAAGACAGGGCGATTGTGAGGCTAACAGCGCTTCGCCAACCTTCTGACAAAGTCCTGGTCATCAAAGAATCTAGGCATGTCAAAATACTGTGAAAGAGACCGCTTCATTTCTTCTTTCTCTCCCCTTCGGACGGCAGTACACAACTTTAGTAAACTTGCTGCACTCCAATACAAGCAAGAAGTCTGTGTTCTCATGCAAAAGAAGTATGAAACTCCATATGCTGAACTATGAATATTGCGTCTGAGTGTCCTGACACTGAATTATCACCTTAACCTGAAACACCAGCCATTGAGAAGAAGGTGGGGGGGGGGTGGGGATCAGTGTGTTGATACTCAACGTATAACCATTTTAGTAAACAGTGTTGCATATATGTTCATGTTCTGCAACTTCTGTGCATTTTTGTGCTGATGGTTAAAACATTCTTTGTAACTCATCATGTTTCTTGGTTTAAACTGTATGCATTTTTAATTAAGTCCTTAACACTTCTATTCTGTTTACAAAGTAAATAGCCACTTTTTAAATAGAACCTCATGCCTTGAAGTTTTTGAAATAAAAATCTAAATTAAGGTTTGTGTCTACAGCTTCATGCATTGGCTGGCCCTTTATCCAACACAGGAATATGTTAGCCCTTTTTTGTGCAAAAATTGCTTTTAGGAAACAATTTAGCAGTCAGTTGTATTACAGAGGAACACATCTGTATTTGTTACATTGGGCTACTTGGTAAACTCAAGGATCCAGAGCTTGTGTTCAGGTAGCAACCCCTATCTGATGAAACGGTGCGCCCTGGCCAACTGTGTCTGGCAGGAATGGTCAGCTGATTACATTAGATCCTGCTCCAAATCAGCTTTTTTTGGAGTTAGCCTGTTTTGATTTGAGGTGATCGATCAGAGCTGCAATGACTCATCATAAGTATTTCAAATACTCATCCTTGTATTGCTTCCTCGTGGGCAATAGGGCTGGAGGGTTTTGCTCAGGATTAGAGCTTTTGCTTTGCATGTAGAAGGTCCCACTTTCAATCCCTAATAGTGAAAGTCCTCTGCCCGACACTCTAGAAAACCATTGGGAGGTGATAGATTCAAGTGGATTGCCCTGTTGGTCAGAAGAAGAGAAGGAGGCCACCACGTAGCCAGGCTAAACACGGGATGCGATGATGATGATTAATGATGATGATGATTGGATTTACACACTTTCCAGAACTGTCCTTGAGAGAACAGCTCTGACAGAACTATGGCTTGCCCAAGGTCATCCAGCAGCTGCAAGTGGAGGCGTGGGGATCAAACCCGGTTCTCCCAGATTGGAGTCCGTGCACTTAACCACTACACCAAACTCTTGCAGGGCCCTCGCTCCAGTATATATCAGTGAACGAATCTTTTCCCAGGTTGTCAATAATGATGTTCTAATC